TTCCTTCCTTCCTTCCTTCCTTCCTTCCTTCCTTCCTTCCTTCCTTCCTTCCTTCCTTCCTCTCCCTCTGTCTCTTTCTTTTCTGTTTTTTTTTTTTGGTAAAAGCCTTACAATAGCCTATTTCCCCCCACTCTATAGAGTCATATTGTTTATACGTCCAAGGTGATAGATAGATTAAGCAATTGACAGAGTCCTTTTCATGCATTGTGGATTAGAAAGACTCGAGGAATGGGTGAAATCTTCGTAGTATTTAGGAATACAACCAGAGTTGCTGCCACTCTTTTCTGTCTTCATACTAAAAAACTGTGCATTTTTATTTGATGGACTCAGAGCTGTTTTTGTGGTACATGAGATGAACTGTGAGTTCTGGAGGGGTTAAACATCCTAGGCTTTTCCTCCTCCCTGCAGCCACCCATCATCTCCCAGTGTCTGTTTTAGAGTGGACTTGTTTTTTCATTGATGTTAAACTAATTCCCAATGTCTCAAACGCTGCCACGTAAACTGTGGGCTCCACGCAGGCACCCCAGCCACCCTGCTTGGCCTTTTACCTTTTACACATCTCCTCACTTTCCCTTGGGTTTGTTTCCTTCACTTTTTCTGATACTTCCTCTTCTATCTCAAACACTTAATCCATCTCTCCCTGTTTGTTTGTCTGTTTTATCCCCTAACCTTTGTCCCTTATCATTCTTTTCAGGATAGTTCAAATTTGTAGTCCATTGTTTTTAGTTTATTCTATCTGGAGGGCTTCCCATGGCTCCATTCTCAATACCTAATTTTGGGCAACATGCCTAGCACCTAATTTGTGTTCTTTTTCAGCCACTGAATGATTGGTTTGCCTATATGTTCGTGTTGTTTTTTGACCATCCTACATGACTGATTTCGAGCAGGTTCTCAAATCATCACAGTTCATAGATTTATTTGGTATACTCTACCAAGTGACTGATTCTGAATACATAGCTGTGTATTCCCAGCACCTGGAAATGTCCTGAGGGGTGCTACAAAGGATATGGAAAGAAAACTCTACCCTATTTTCAATTGATGGGAGGACTGAATGCCTATTACACTCTGTGTACTTTTCCACGTGCTAATGATACACAACTATGAAAATCACTGTCTGCGATCTAAAGGCACACACAGCCCACACTCTTAAAGCCAAGATTAATTTTGACTTGGTTTATCAGTTTGGGATGATGGCCAGATAGTGACTTCTCTCCAGAAAGTGTCTGAAACCCTGATGATTACAGAGCTACCCCTTCTCGCACTTTTGGAAGAGATTCTGTCCTTGGCACTTATCTGGACTTCTAGGGGAAAAGTTCACGCGGGAAATCACAGGGTTAGAATGGGGTCAGGAGAAGTTGCAAGTTCAGACACAAGGAGAGCAAGAAGTAGAAACACATAATTCATCCCTGAGTCTACACCCACCCTCTGGCTTGTTTCTTAACTCTTCTTTGCCCCATGTGCTCCAGAATCCACCTATGTCCTTACTTCATACATCTGAGGAAGTAATCCTTAAAGAAACCAGGTTTTAAAGATGTTGGAAAGTCTTAAGGACCCATGCTTATTCTCTACATACTCTTGACAGATAATATTATTACTTTTATCTTGCTGAGAAACCATATCCCTGTTTCCTGCCCTCTCTATCCTGGTGCCTGCAGCGAGACATCAGAGAGAAGAGTCATTAGATGCCCTCACTGACCTGAATTTTGCTTCTTTCCAATTCATCAGTTCCATATCATGAATCTGGAATCCTTAGCCTTATCAAGGATTTAGTCATGACACCATTCCTTTCATAATCTGCACCAAATCCTGGCTGGTAGGAAGATTTATTTTAGAAGCTACTCTCCAAGGTCCAGTCCTGATTTAGGCCCTAATTGTCCCTCCCCCTATGCCACCCCTTCCCCTCCCCGCCCCTCCCCTACACCCTCCCTCCCTCTCTTTGTGCCTCTCTCCTGCCATCTTTTTAATCCTTATTTGCACCCTCAGCTTTGGAGATCTGGGGCCTTGAATAGCAGTCCCCAAGGTGTGTGTCTGTGTCCTAGCTTTTATTTCAGCCCTGTTGCCAGGAGAGCAATTCATTATTTATATCTATCAGCACATGGAAGGAGGCATAGACCAGATAGGGATCTGGACTTAAACAAAGTTCTTGAGGGATCACTTGTCCCCAGCTGTGTATGAGAACTCCCAACTCCTGTCTCTATAATGAGGAATGTGTGCAAATTATAGAAGAACAAGGCATTAGTTTTGGTAAAGCAAAAGTCTTACCCACTCTCCTCCCCAGTTTTGATTTCTGGCTACAGCCAATGGGAGTCCGGAATCCTGTCTCATGGAAAAGAGAGCTCTCCTTTGCAGTCCCTTATTTCTCCCTACCCCTTTCTCTACAGTTCCCATCTCCATGTTCTCCATAAGAAGGGAGGACAAGACAGGAGTCTTTCTCCCCCCGCGGTGGTACATGTGCCCATATATTTTTATTTTTTATTTTTCAATTACACTTGACATTCAATATTATATTATATTTCAGGTGTACATTATAATGGTTAGACATTTATACAACTTACGATGTGATCCCCCTGATAAGTCTAGTACTCCGTTAGCACCATACATAGTTATTACAGTATTATTGACTATGTTCCCGATGCTGTACTTTACATCCTCGTGACTGTTTTGTAACTGCCAATTTGCATTTCTTAGTTCCTTCACCTTTTTCATCCAGCCTGCCAACAGTATGACGACTCTCATACTGGCAACTGTCAGTTTGTTCATGGATGGGAATAATTTTTAATCAAGTTATGAATAATATATGGAGGACATGAATCATAGTGCCAATTGTCTGGAAACCAAGCGTCTTACTCTCTCTTCTCAGAAAAATGACCATTCAGTATATGTACATGTGATTAAGGGCATGAATGTT